CAGGTTTCCAATTTGAATTTGTCTAGCATCAACTTCCAGACACCAAATCTTGTGTTTTGGGGCAGGCGTAATGAGAAGCTCCGATTTTTACTTCATTGGTTTCAAAGCAATTTTGGAGATCAAAAGTTACTAGAGAATTAAGGAAAAGGACCCCATGTGTGATATATAAAAGTTCTAGGTTTCTTCTTTTTCAAGCATATTACTAGAAACTTGTGTGTATGTTGATATATGGAAAAGGACTACACAGAGTATCAGTACAATGAATATTAGAAAAATTTAATTTATTTCAGTTCACCCTGTGAATGTTAGGAAACATAACTGAAAGTTTATGAGGAATAATATTTTTTTAATGGAAGATTTCCACTTCTTTAAAACTAATTTATATATTGCAGTCCTATCATTTCCGCCATCTCCCTTTCTATATCTGGCAAATACTGTATGTTGCTTCCTTAAACTGAATTTAAATTACAATGTAATCAGTACTGGTTATTTGGGGGATGGGGAACGTATACACTTATTTTAACATCTTGCTCAACTGATATAAGGGTTTTAACTGAAAATCTGAATCAGCATATTTCTAAAGATCTAAAATATCTTGTGCTCCTTTTTTATTAAAAGACTTCATAATCTGAAAATGTATGTAAATGGAGAAACAAAGCCAGCATCTTAAAAAATCACATTGATAATGGTTGTAAATTCAGGTGACAAAAAATCTTTTTATATAGTATCTTGCAACTCTGGTAATTGTACTGAACTTTTTTGAAACATTCCATTGATTTTCATTTACTTATTTCTTTTGAAGCCTTATTTACACACAGAGAGAGGGAGAGACTTTCCTCTCCCCAGTTTATCCTCTGGTAGACAAATCAAGAAGCATTAAAATAATCCTGTCACTCAAGTCTGTCTTGTTTGTGTACTGTGTACTGCAAACATGGCCTGTCAACAACCAAATCTGAACCATTGAATTGTAATTTTAGTATCTTGTATAATAATCTTGCTGTGCAAATTACTGACCTTGACTTTATAACTTTCTAAACATCTTTCGCTCTTCCTTTAAAACAATCCCATCTAAATTTACCGTATTTCATGAACAAAGCAGTAGGTTTGTTTGCCAGATTATCAGACTGCATCTTAATTGCCCTTGAATAGACAAACCAAAAGCAGGTTAGTGGAATACTGCAGCTGTGTATGCATCTGTTTGTCTCTCCAAACCAACTCCTTATTATGCTTAGAAATAAAACCCTTTCTCTTTGCCAGCTAGATTCTATACTTGGTTTTATTATTTTTCCCCTGCTGCTGGTGAGTTGGTTTTCTTATAAAATTATTTTTGTGAATTTTAGTGTATATTTAAACATTTTAAGAAATATTACATAACATACAAAAATAAAACATATATAAATCGGATTTTTTTTTAAGCACTAAGAGCCTGGAACTTGGAAATGGCCTTTTATCCTAAAATCACCACTATAAATACCATGCCATTCACATATTAATATTTTGGTTTGTTACTGCAGTAAAAATTAGCAATTTTATGCAATATAAAGACTGTGTTTGCACAGTATTCTGTGTTGTGATGTTAATGATACAGCATCTTCACCAGAAGTCTTCTGTAGTTCAAGTAGGTTAGATATATAAAGTTTGTATCTGAGAGTGCTAGACCATTTGTAGCAGCTATGGTGTCACTGTCTGCTAGACAGTGTTCTCTTCCTTTAGCCATGGAGCACAATACTGTAAAAGCTGTGTTATCTGGCACTTTACCAATTGGAAAGCTCTAGAAACCGGCATTTCCCGGTGCCAGATCCGGGCGGCACTAAACTTGGCGACATGTCCCTGCTGCTCCTAGATGGAGAAACAGCCATGGGGGCTCCGTGCGCTGCCCCCACCCTGCCCCAAATGCTGGTTCCACAGCTCCCATTGGCCAGGGACTGTGGCCAATGGGAGCTGCGGGTGCGGCGCCTGTGTGTGTGGAGGCAGTGCGCAGAGCGGACTGGCCGCGCCTCCGCCCAGGCGCAGCAGGGACATATCACCGCTTGCATGTAGACTCCTAAGGTGAGCGCTGCCCAGATCCAGCATCCTGAAACTCCTCCCGTGCCCCAAGCCCCAGCCCTGAGCTCCCTCCTGCACCCAATTTCCCTCCCTCCATTGGTAAGTATAACTCATAGTTAACCAGAATTTTTGACTAACCGACTCCCCCTATTCCCCCAGCATGCCGGATTACAAAGTTTTTACTATACTGATTTTTATGTAATTGTAGCTGTATATCAGATCACTATCACAAGTAAATCCCTCACCAAGAATTACTTGGTTTACTTAGTTGAGATCCTCTGTATACCTTGTTGTTACATCAGGGTGTTATGAGGATTTGGGTTTTTTTATTGGATCAATGATCAGTAAGTATTTCCCCCATTTTTTAGCCCTTGCTTCAAAATGCTGGTGTTTGAACTTGGCCAGTATGGATTATCTGGCTGGTGAATGCACTCATCTTACAAGCTGTACCATTTGGGTAGATCCTTGTGGGAACAGTGTGCAGGATCAGGGCCTCATTTTGTAGCTCAGTTCAAGACTTGGCAGGCAGATAAAAAATGATCTCTTGTAAAATCAGTATTTTAATTTTTTGTATTAGCATGAAAAAGTCTGTTCATGCACCATAACATATAATCAGTTTTGCAGATTCTAATATAAATGAGTCATTTTTACATTGCATATAATAGTATCCCCATCCTCTCTGAGGACACCAACAAAGTTTTTTATATGCTAGACCAATCTTCTGCAAAAAAAAGGAACCAGCCTGTGTTGACAAAACTAACAATGTGGGAGAGAATTACATAAAAATGTAGAATTTAGCTTTGGACATAAAATCCAAAAATATACTATAAATGCTTTTTTTGAGTGGCCTTGGTAAATTCAGACCCTTGGGAATGTACCAATGTTCCATGCTGTGCTGTTGAAGCATTCCCAAGAGTCTGAATGTGAAGAGATCAACTAAAAACCAACCAACCAACCAACGCCCCTCTCTGGTTACAGGTGAGTAACCTTTATTTATATTACACTATATACCCATTAGTAGTGCCCTACCAAATTCATCGTCCATTTTGGTCAATTTCATGGTCATAGGATTTTAAAAATCGTAAATTTCATGATTTCAGATATTTAAATCTGAAATTTCATGGTGGTGTAACTGTAGGGGTCTTGACTCAAAAGGGGACTGTTGGGGGAGGGTCACAAGGTTATTGTAGGGGGGTTGCAGTATTGCCATTCTTGCTTCTGTGCTGCTGCTGCTGGTGGCGGTGCTGCCTTCAGAACTGGGTGGCCAGAGAGTGGCAGCTGCTGGCCAGGAGCCCAGCTCTGAAGGCAGCAGCACCACTGCCAGCAGCAGTGCAGAAGTAAGGATGGCATATTATGATATTACCACCCTGACTTCTGCATTGCTGTCTTCAAAGCTGGGCCCTAGGCCAGCAGCCGCCACTCTCCAGTCACCCAGCTCTGAAGACAGCTGAAATGTATGGTATCGCCACCCTTACTTCTGCACTGCTGCTGGCAGGGTACTGCCTTCAGAGCTGGTCACCTGGCCAGCAGCTGCCACTCTCTGGCCACCCAGTTCTGAATGCAGCACAGAAGTAAGGGTGGCAATACCACAACCCTCCTAAAATAACCTTGCGACCCTCCCACAACTTCCTTTTGGGTCAGGACCCCCAGGTTGAAAAACGCTGATCTCCCCTGTGAAATCTGTATAGTACAGGGTAAAAGTACACAAAAAAACAGATTTCATGGGGGAGACCAGATTTCACAGTCCATGATGCATTATTCATGGCCGTGAATTTGGTAGGACCCTATTCATTAGAATTCAAAACTTGCAGATTATGTTACTGTTGTAACACTTGTCTGTCCTTCTGCCCCTTCCCTATCTCATTTTGTCACGTGTCACAGGTCATGAATGCTTTCTTATTGATCTATAAACTGTCACTTGCATTGATGATACTCTATAAATAATAGTTTGGGAGAGGCTTAATTTTCTACATTGGGTATGGTCAGGAATAACACCCTTCAGCCTCATCCGCTACTTAAAAAAAAAGAAACCCATGCTGTATAAACCTGCCATGTGCACAAAAAGGAGTACTCAACTTCACAAATCCATTTTCCTTTCCTATTAAAGATGTGGTGTTCCAGTCTGGAACACAGTTATTTTAACACAGACAGTTTCAGTTTAAGAAGGAAAAATATTAAATACAAACCCTATGTTAATTCAGCTTTATAGCGGAGAACTTAAAAGCACAAGTCAGAAAAATAAAAATCTTTACGTGTATGTATTGAGATTAGAACTTTTATATACTGTAATAGTTATACAAATTACTACACATTCTGAAGGAACTAATAACTGGACTTCCATCTATTTAAATTTCCCAGCTGCCCTACTGAAGTTCAAATCCTTTACAGGAGGGACCCTTTCTAATAGTGAGAGGTTAGTTCAGTATTCATGTTTGTTCATTCTTTGGCCACTTGTCTATGAATCAAGCTGGCTTTTGGTTGATGAAAATACTTCAGCTGTTACAAGGGCAGTGATCCAACAGCTGCGCTGGTTGACTGGCATAGTCAGTGTAATGGTATTTGGTAGTAGTCATTTGGCACTGAAACAAGAAAATTATTTCCTTTATACTTTTCTTTCAAATGAAATTGAAATGTCTACATGAAAAATAACTAATTTTAATAATCCTAATTAAATGTAGTAGTATGGGTTTATGGTAACTATACATGCACCAATGAAGACTACTGGCAATCTGTGGATGTCACAATGTTGTGCCCAGTTGTAATACAACAGGAAACCATCTTGTGGTTAAAATATTCTGGCATGTATCTAAGTACATGCAACATGATGTACAGAAATAAGCCAGCCTTTATTAACTACTAATCAGTTATGAATAAATATAATTAGTCAAGTAAATGGCTCAAAAACACTATTATAGATTTGATTTTTCTCTTTTTTTTTTATTTTTTTTATGTAGGGTGTGGATTCAGGATTTGTTCCCAGTGTTCAGGATTTTGATAAGAAACTTACAGAGGCTGATGCTTATTTGCAGATCTTGATAGACCAATTGAAGGTATGTTGAACTAACACTTGTGTACCTAAAGAGATAGTGGATAATGTTAGGTGCTCTTTGGGTCTCCTCTGGAACTTGTCTTAGGCCCTGTTCTATGGGCAGCTGTGGTGGGGAATCGCCCATATTTCAGAACTACAATCCAGTGTCAGAGAAGACTTTCTTTGACACAGTAAAAGCAGAAGAGATGGAATGTATTAGTTAAGGCAGATGTGACCATATGAGAAGCCTGTCAAACGCTCAAGTATTTTTTATTTCTGGGGTTTGCCAATGACAAAGTTTTATCCTTTTCTTCTCTTTGCTCTCTGGGTCTACCATAGAAAAGTAAGTGTGTGTGTGTGTGTGTGTGTGTACACACACACACACTTACTTTTGTAATCTTCTACTTTTAAAAAAAAACAATGAAAATTCAGACTAAAAACTATGTTGAATTTGAGAACAGAATTCTGTGTTGAGATGAATGGAGATCTTGGAATCATGGATCACTCAAGTAAAATTGAGTTTGAAAATTAGAATAACTTTAAATGTATGCCTTCTTTTCAAAATGGGTTTTCTGTCAAATATTGAGAATCTGCTTTCTGTTATATTCAGTGAGTTAACTTTGGAGAATTGGCAGAGATGGTTTAAATAAATGAGTTTAAATTTGTAGTGGAATCCTTAAAATGATCATCCTGCCCTTGATATTTAATTTTTTTTCCCTGAAGAGGAGTCCCGCCTGTGCTGTTGTTCCTGCACATAGTGCTTAACTGGGATTGCTGATAGCTGAGGAAATTTTGCTGCTGTATTTGTGTGAATCTGATATTTGACCATGGGTAAATTGCTCTGTAGGAGCAGCTAAAATGGAATACTTTTCTGCTCTGCTTATGTGTTTTGGAGTTAGGTGGGGGAGATGAGGAATGACAAGCTCATATATCCCACCACACTATTGAAAACAGCAGAAGATTATCCTTTGGCAGTTTCTGCCTACAACATTTTCCCCTGACCCAGCAGATTAAAACTGATTAAGACTGCTACAGTTATGTTCTGCTTCTCTTGCTGATATTATTGGGCAAGCACTGTGTGTGGGAGCATCAGCACAAATTTGGTCTTGTCGATGGGAAAGGAGTACGTGCACTAAGATGGAGTTGAGTGAGAGAGACATACAGAATAAAGAGCTTGGCCCATGGCCTAATGATTTAGGATACAGCTGAGCTTTGTCCCTTGCTCTCGTGTCAGCAGCGGTGAGGAAACCATCCCAGGCAGCACTCCTCTCTGGAGGAAAGGATATGCCTCACTGTGCTCTTCAGCGGTCACCTGAGACTGCATGAAGAAAAGATTGACAAATAGTGGAGAAAAAGAACAGTAGAAATAAGGGACAGGGAGAGACTTGCAGAAACTAAGGCATGGGGGTTTTGCAGAATGAGGTATCAGCATTCAAGGAAGGGGAAGTATGGCACCAGAGAAGAGGAAAGGATAGGAGAAGTGACTTGCTGAGTTTTAGAGAGGAGATGGCATTTGAGGTTTTCTTGTTCCATTGCAATATCTTATTCAATTTGGTAGCTGAAAGTAACTTAGAAAACTAAAGCACTAAAATTTTTCAGACCCTCCCCCCTGCTTCTCCAGTCGTCTTTTTTGGAAGGAAAAAGTGTGTGTGTGTGTGTGTGTGTGAGAGAGAGAATCTTTAATGTATGGTACAAAAACAACAAGGAGTCTGGTGGCACCTTAAAGACTAACAGTTAGTCTTTAAGGTGCCACCAGACTCCTTGTTGTTTTTGTACATACACACTAACACGGCTACCCCCCCCAAACCCGAGACCCCTGGATATGCTACTTTTTTCTCTCCTCAAAAACACAATCTACAAACTAAATTTTGAGA